TCAGGGAACTGATGTAACAGGAAAATTGAAACAACTGCCTACGTAAAATGGAACCACATGGGGAACAAAAGGCATGACTGAGTTCACAGGGAGAAAAGAGGGGGGAAAGAGGGGGGGGTAACTTGGTGGTTGGTGAATTAAAGAGGAGGCTAAGAAGTGATAGTTGGTAGATTATTGGGATGACTAAAAAGTGATAAGGAACCAGAATGGAGACAGAAAACTAGCAGCAATGACCCAGAAAAAGGTGGTGAGGAACGGGGAAAGTCATCACGCGGCATGGGGACGTGAGATAAGTTGAATGCAGGGAATGCAGGGGGTTGGAGAAGATGGTGGCAGAGGGAGAAAGACAGTCTGCTGGTTAAAGCCACCAAAAACTATCCGGGATGATGAAATCCTGTCCCCGCATTGGTGGGCAAGTAATTTTTACCATTAATAGAACCTTTAACAGACAGTAACTAACTGTGTATTGTATATTTCTGAGACATTTACTTGTCGTGCTGGAGTATCTATCCCAAATTTTGTAGACTCAGAGCTCCAACAGAAGACACCTTACTATGTGTTGAACTTTTATAGTGCTAAATGCTTTCAAAATTCAGGTCCCAGGCATCTTAAAATGAGATTTGTCCTACCACTCACCTTTCTGTGACTGGCAAAATACTGCTAAAATGTTATAGAGTGCTAAAGGGAAAGAACACCTTCCACACTATGCTTGCTTCCTGAGATAGCAACTGTAATCTATGTCAGATGTACGCATTTCTGAGTAACACAGATAACAGCTTGCAACACAAGGCTTTGGAGGAAACTCTTAACTGCTCCCTTGAGAATACAGGCCCAGACATAACTATTTTTATAATATTTAACAGATTTTAAAGCCAGAATGACCCATACAATTATCTTGCCTGACTTTCTGCACAACACAAGCCATAGAATTGCACTGAGCTCCCAAAGTTTGGTTAAAATAGATACATTCATAGCACATAGCTATGCATATGCTGATGGGTGTTTTTCCTCCCTGCATTTTCTAATGCACCTTCTGTTTTCAGTCACTCTCTTCATGAAGATAGAAATCCTGTGACTGGGAAGCAGGGACCATACAAAGGATCTCAAAAGGCGAAGACATTAGTCTCTCAAACTTAAAGATAAACCCCATGGCTTGAAGGACAAATCTCCTTACACAAATTTTCCAACATATTAACTGTGAAATCTTAGAGACCCTGGCCAAGAGTTTTCACTGAATGAAATTATGGTTATCTTTTGAATGTTTGCAATTAAACCAATTACAATAATTTGACAACTAAGAAATATTGGGAGAGATTTGGAGAAACTATTATCTACAGAAGAAGGAAACACTTCGTGAGGGTGACCAAGAACTGGTACAGGTTGCCCAGAGATGTTGTGGAATCTCCATCCTTGGAAGATATTCAAAAGTAATCTGAAAACAGTCCCTCCTGGACAACGGGGTCTAGGTGACCCTGCTTGAGCAGGGAGGTTGGAGTAGATGACCTCCAAAGGTCCCTTCTGTAATACCCGAGAGACTTAACCTTTCCCCACCTATGGCTGCAAGAACTGAGTACAGCTGAAGTACCTTCTTTTACACCCCTAGACGGAAATACTTTCCCAAAAGGTAAGTGAAGCAGCGCAGTGTTTACTAATTTTCTCATGTAGTTGTTATTTACATCTATGTTTATGTAGATGTATCATATAACTGCACGTAAATTAGTGTTTGTACGATGTTTTGAAGATACAAGGCATTTGTGTGTTTGTGTATTCACACAGATGCTGTCTATCAAAATAGTCTTGTTTTTCTTGGATGATAAAAGCAATTCACTGCCTTTTTTAAGGTTAGTACTCAAAATCCAGCTCCCATGTACTTATTATTCATCTCACTTGATTGTACTTTAGCTTCTGTAAGCTAAGCTCTCTTTAAAATATGCACTAATAAAATCTTCTTAGACTTCTACTATCAAATTTCTCAACACACAAATATTGTAAGCTGCAGGGATTTTTTGGTCAGTGTGAGCATGACTCTCGATTACTCAGCAATCAATGCATTTGTTATACTGTCTGTGGCAGTTGATGTTTCTGAATAGGTAACAAGTTTTTAGTATCATTCAGGCAATTTGCAAACATACTTCTGCCTTTAAGGTGCTCTGTTTATTTCAACACAATATTGGAATGAACTAAATCTGGATACGCTCCTATGATTTACCAACACCTTCCTTTAGCTGATGTACAGCTGGCTGGGCAAGAACTCTATGTTAGAAACACACCAGGTACTTAGGACCTTAACTTGCTATAAATTCTTTAAAATCAATATGCAGGTTTTAAAAATCAATGGAAGGATAAGGCTCAAAAGCTATAATGGCGCAAATATTATCACTGAGCACTCACTTATACATAAGATCTGAACATTTGAAATAAAAGCCTAGAGATCTAGAAGTGTGAGATGACACTGAAATCAATGCATTTCAGTCCCTAAACAGCTCGTCTGATTCATCTCACCAACAAGAATATATGATTGTCTCTAGAATAGACAGGCGTTTATAGTAGCAGATTTTTTGTGGTGAAGTACTTTGAAGATTGCTATTTTAGAAGTGGTTATAGAAGGACATTAGTGAGCAAACAAGATAAATGTTTTAGTGAGGAATTACATGGTTGAGAAATCATACATGAGGGATACTCCTCCCAACAGATCTCACCGATTTTGCATGCATAGACTTTGGTTACATTAGAGGTGGTTTTGGTGGAACATACATAGTAAGACTGAGGAAGCAGTTATTAAATTCACCTGGCAGAGTTAAATGAAATGCTAATCTCTATTTTCAGTCTCTTAATGGCACCTGACCCTCTATCATTTAAGACCACAGATGCTGGCTCCACAGCGAGTCAGCGCTCTAAAGAAAGTATGTTACTAAAAAAACTGTTAGAAGAGTGCTCCCTCACAGAAAACACAATTCAAATGTCGTGTGCACAGCACATCCCCAAATACTACCACAAAATAAACACAGAACTCAAATGTGGCTATTCCAACCTTTTAAGCATTACAATAACAAAAACTATGGAAACAAGGGGATGAACAAACGTTGAAGTATCAGAAAAAATGTTACACTTCAGAAGCCAAAGTCTCTCTGCAGTCTACAGAATTGGTACCAGCATTAGCAAAAGAATAATTGTATACTCTTGCTTATCAGATGCCAAGTAAAGAATGGAGATAATCACGTCTAAGTTCATGCAGTCACTCTGACTGGTGTTGAACATATTCCCACTTCAGTTGCAGCTGTACAATAGCATAGCCCCGCCTCTGGTCAGACTTGGGGTGCGTTTGCCCCTGTTGTTATCATAACTTGCAAAAAACCATAGCAACAGCATAGCTGTGTGCACCTAGTCCCGGGTAGTTCCTAATAGAGGCCCATTTGCCAAGGACTTTTGGAAACAGAAACCCAGATCTGTAAACAACTCTCATTTTTTTCTATGTGAACACGCACTTCAAAAAGCCTTTCACCAAATTGTGCACTTTGAGATTTTCCAGAAACCAAATTTTTACAGATACTTTTTCCATTTTTATTGTAACCAGAAATGTTTCTGTAATACTTCCATGGCAAACTGGGTAACAACACATTTGATGTTTCCATCAAATAAATTATATTTCAATTCTAAGTATCTATATAAAATTCTTTTTTTAAGCTCTAACCCCAGAATCATGAGATTGTGAAACTCTAAACCCAACAGGGCTTAACAATTTCAACTGTTTATATTATTAAGTCCTGCAGTTCTCAAGTGTGCATATTATCCCCTTAGAGGTTAGGACACTGAACCTCCCGATCTTTTCATTCATAGATTACTTCAGGCCAACAAGGCAATGGTGTGATTACAGCCTTTGTACAGGGCTTCCACCAATGCAAAACAGATGTGAGTTTTAGCCCTGCAATATGCTTCACCAGCTTGTGCCTTCAGTGGTGAATTCCTGGTTCTGCGGTAGGAAAAGAATTTGTTTTCCTTGTGCTTTTTTGACAACGGTTCAGGTCCTATATGCCAGGCACCACCGATGAAATGATCCAGCCTGGAACCATGGGTTGTGCAGCTGAGTGGTGGAACCCCCAAAATGTCCCCAGAACTTTCAGGTCTCATTTAATTTACTGCTCTCTGGAAATTTAGGAAGACTTTGAAGTAGGCTGGTTTGGTAATGTATAAGCTTATAAGGCCTGTAGCCTTAAAACACTACTCAGTTATTTTACTTGACATAAAGAATAAAAGTATTTTTGTGTTACAAGTGTAACTACTGATTCAAACTTATCAAATCATTTGAAATCAACTCAAAAATTTTCTCTCCCAGAATTATTACAGAAAACAACTTTCTCTCACACAGAAATGGGATAATCAAAGTTTATTTCTGTTCTCAGAACTGAGGTAATTATTGTTCCACAGGAGTAAAGATGTTGGATTGCACTGGTAAGGGTGTTTTGTGCATTTCCTGATTCACTCCGGCGCTGGATACCAAAGGAAATACTGCATCCTTCATTTACTTACTCTGAAGGGAGTAAGGAAGAGGATGAGTTTGCTGAGGAAGTTAAGAAACACAAGAGTATACTGAAGTCACATTTTTCTGACAGAGTAGGCATGGAGAGCTCACCTGGGTATACAACTGGGGTGCCTCAGAACCAGGTCTCCAGCATATTGCAGGACATGCTCAGTACTTTGCAAGATTGAGCTCTCAGTCATAAAAATATATTTTACGTACAAAAATACAGCAGATGTCCTTCTAAAAATCATAAGTGTTATTCCCTCTCGTTATGTTTTATACATTCAGAAATAGACATTTGAGATATACCATGAACAGTGCAAAAGACTGTTTAATATTTATAAAAACACACACTGCAGTACCTTTAAGCGCCACCTGAAAGAAAAGTTGAGAAAGGTTTCATCCTCAGAGAAATTCTGGTCCAAGTCGAACTTTTGTTTAGCGAGTTGCAAACAAATGTCTTAGAATGCAGAGAATCTTCTCATTTCTTCCCAGCTAAGGCAGTCTCAAACACATCAAGTCCTGCTTTGAAGTAAACCTGAGCTGAATTGATGCTGCTCAGCACCTCTGACAAGGCTGCTTGAATGGTCTCATTTGACTGATGTAGTTTGCAGTGCTCCAGTGCCTCTAGCAGTACTGAAAACTGGCTCGTCCTTTCATCTAGTCTGTAAAGAATATTTCTAAAAGAGAACAATGGAGAATGGTAAACTTTTTAGTCAAAACAATTCATCAGAAATCATCAAGAAACACTGCAAGTATCGGGCACACTTTACAGACGATATGTATTATGTGCAGTAAAGCTGACCTGTGGCAAACGGAAAGACAATGGCATAATTATTACGGCTTTGTGAACTGCGTCTGTTCATTGATCTACGTGTGTGTGCACTGAAACATCCACAAAATGCGTCAAAGAAATCTCACATTCCTCTTTGATCATTCCAGATTTTATTCAAAATCATGAGCCTAGACCTATCACAACCCTCATGAAATATTTCACGTCTCAGATGGATTCCATTTAGTCCCCCCCTAAAAAAAAATTTGGTTATTACCGTAGACCCTAGGCATGGATTTTTATTTTTTTTTCCTATCTGCTCCTGTTATTTATTTCACACTGCAGAGATGAAATTCTAGCTCTGTTGAAGTCAATGGTAAAACTCCCATCGCCTTCAGCAGAGCCTTTATTTCATCAATAATCCTTTGTGGCACCAGAACAAGAGCAACCCATCTTTAATGTCACATACTTGAGGAAGGAAACAAATGGAATGTACAGCTAAACCCTTACGAAAAAAACCCTGTATTCTCCTCTAACATCTGCAAGACTTTTTAATGGCTCGTACAAAAACACATGAAAGGTAATGCCTAATTCCTTGGAAATGTTATCTGTATGAGGTGTTGAAGGCTCAGAATTCAAAGCTAGTCAGTGATTTCAATGAGACTCTCTGAAGCAGGCTTTAAATGTTATCTAAAAGGAAGTGTAATCATTATCCTAATTAGAAAGCATGTAAATATCATAAATCTCCACCCAGGAGCTCCTTTGACTGTAAACAGAAATGAGTGAAATTTGAAACAGGAAAGCTACACGTGACTTGGTGCAGGACCTTATCCTTAAATACAACGCGGGGAGAAGCTGTTCTACAGGATGAAACCAGCAAGAAAACAGAACAACTCAGATGCTCTGCTAGCAACCTAACTGCATGGCAGAACAGGCCCAATGGCAACTCCAAATTCATAATAAAACTGCCAAGTTCCTACAACACAGATGACCGCAAAAGTGTATCTTCTTATAGGAGTCATCTAATTGCCAGTCTGCAAGGGAGAATGGTAATGAAGTTGCCCAATAAATGACAGCACATCTACAATATTCCACCATGTTTTCCAGCTTGAAAAAATGCTTTGAATGAAGGACAATGTTTTTGAAAGATATGAAATAACTCCTATCCTCATAACATAATTTTTTAGTCTTTATGTTTTCACTTTCCTCTGTTTGGTATACACCCAAAACCAGCACCATGCAATAGGAATGGTAAGCGTTTTCTCCCCCCACAGCAGAACTTCTAGCTATTTGAAGTATTCTGCAATGCAATACACGGTAGTTTTAAACAGAGAAGGGAAACGTTTCAAATCCAACCCTGCAGCAGAAGGATAGCTTACACGGTTTAAATAGTAGGTCATAACTGACCTTGATCATTTAGACGGAAACAGGTTAGGAGCACTTGCAGGAACAGCTCAGTGGGGACAGAAACCTCACGCAAGAGGACAATAACACGCAGAAGTGGCAACAGCTTCCTCAGCTTGCGCTGCAGCAGCCAGGGGAGGCAACTGCCTGCTTCCTCAGCTCCGAGCTGATGCTGCTGTTCCTCGAGACCGCGACGCAGCTTACGCTCCAAGGTGACTAAAGTTATATTAGGGACTGTCCCTAAAGTGTCTCTGTGATATAGTAAATGAAAACTGTGTATATTGAGAACCAGGTAAATTCTGGGTTGGTTGGGTTTTAAGGATAGGCTGTGCTGTGGGAAATACTGTAGTTTTCAAAGTCGGGATTGATTTTACTCCTTCTGAATTCAATTCAGGGACTCCTGCTGAGATCAGTGCAAGCAGAACCAGGCTTCTGAAGAACTCCCCTCTACAGTTCCCATAGTTCACAGTGAGACAGAAGCCTGTTCACAACCCGTCAAAGCCCTTGAACAGAAGAAGCAATGCTAGTGATAATCATACTACTTTCTGCTCTCAGGAGGCATGTGACAGCCCTATCTGGTTGCTGGTGGCCGGGAGGGTTCGACTGAGCTAGAATTCTGCTCCAAATGCCTACATTGCTGGCATCTTGGTCTATATTAGGATCCCTCTATGCCTTTATTGGAGGTAATGTCAACTAATAAAGATGTCATAAGACAATAACCATCAGCAGAGCAACACTAACTTAGACTGCTGGAAATCAGGCTCTAAAGACTGGATGACCTGAAGACTGGAACATTTGGTGACTGCTGAGAAAAGGCTTGTGGTGAACAGGGACAGATCCTCTCCTACCCCATCTGCACATGTGCTCTAAACAAGGCACTCAGGCTACAAAGATGCTTTGCCTTGACATACCAGGATGTTAATGGAGTTTAACTCTACTGCTGTGATTTTGGAATCACAGGAGATTCTGCAGTAAATCCACAGGTGATCCACTGTAAAAGACAAGTATTCCTAGCCATTCCCACCTGGCTACAGAACAAACAAGTGTCTAATGAGCACAGCTTAGGTGTTTGATGAATGAAAGAGACAAAGCAGTGTGATATCACAATTTAGAAGGATATCTTAACTTTTGCAACAGTAATATGACTTTGGCATAGCTGATTGCACAGTATGACAGAACCTATTTTTTAATTTTTATGTATGCAAATAATAATAAGTAACATTATATGGCATCTGTTTTTTCAGATTTTCTGCTAGGAATTCTCACCAGGATCTTATATTTTCCAATTACTTATCTTTGCTTGGCAAGCCATGCCACCCCTTTGTTGCATAAAATGATTTCTCTCTTTATGCATGCTCATGAGAGTCAATTGATACAATTTTACTTCTTATCTCGGTCCAAGCTTCATCAAATGACAAAAATGGCTAGTCCAGTTTATTACTTCCAAGCCTTTACAAGTCAGAAAAGTGTTTTCATTAAAGATTACACACGGACTGAAAAATAAAACACAGCCATTTCATTGGCACAAGATATCGCTATGTAACTTCAACATGCACACTGACACCAAGAGACTTTAATTTATACTATGAAATTCAATTACTTAAACATTCCTTAATACAAATTGGTTTTGTAGCCTACACCTCTAAAACAACACATGCAGCCTCTGGCTTAAGTATTTACCTTCATCTTTAACTATTCTGATCTTATAAATAAAAATCACACAGTCAGCCTGACCCACACAAAACAAAGAGACTCCTGAATGGAAAAGTGCAATACATTATTGATAACACTAATAAAATTACAACACACATCATTCCTCTTCACGGGCTTGTTTCAAAGACACACCACAGTGACCCAAAAAGTGTAACACTGAAGTAGGAACCCTAACTAATAACTTCAGGCAGTACCATTGAAAAAGGTAAAATGGCTCCAAACAAAAGAACCAGCCTTCGCAAACTAAAGCGAAGAAATTATAAAAACAAATTGTAAAAGAACCTCTTCTATAACTTTTATGAGCCCTTTGCAGGCCTAGGAACATAAGCATTATTCATCAAAATAATGCCATTAGAGTTAATGCTGTTTTACGTTATCACAAATAAGGATGTAATGCCACCTCCACTAGACCAAAATGAATTTGACAAATTCTTGAATGATAGATCACACTAAAAATATATTGACTTTAACACAACTTCAAACTATTTTGGAGTTTATATTAGAACAACTGGACAATACAAGGTAAAACTAGATTACTACATTATTCTTGTCACGAAAAAGGATTTTTTAGCTTATAAGCAGACTTCATTTGTAGGTAATGTACAACACAAGCTGAATTATTCAGGTACTTACAAACAGGCTCCTACCTAAGAGCTTACATTTGAGATTTTGAAAAGGAATTATTAAATCATTAGGACATGATAGCAAGGATACTGTCCCACATGAAACGAGTGCAGGTTTTCTCTGTGAAATCACATTAGATTTGTTTACAGACAAATGGTATGGGCAGCCTCTGTCTATTCCACTTATAACACAATGTGCTGTGACTAGAGCTGCTTCATTATCCTTACAAATTCAATTTTATAATTCCCTGAATTATTTTTTCTTTTACTTTCCAAGAAAAGAGCACACCAGAACAGGGATTCTCTGCATTTAACTTTCTCTTGATAATGTTCTGTTTTGAATACACTTTTCTTACATCTAGGAGTTTCTTTTCATTAATGTTTGTAAATCATAAAATGTTTATAACTTGGCAAATCATTACATGCATTCTAATAATAATATTTACATGTTTGGACTTCCAGTTCCACAGGGTGTTTATTTACTGTAGGACATAAAAATATTACAAATTCTTCTTCCCTGAAAACCACATGGGCTTATTTATACTAGTTTATTTACACCAGTTTGTACCTCAGAAAATTTAATAGTGAAGGTACAGAAAGTGTCCCTTCTTCTTTTGGGTCCCTATCCTTTTGATCTCCAACAGTGCTTCTCTTATCTTTTTATTTTTTAAACTTTTTACACACCCACATGCAGTTATTTTACCTAAGCTACATTATTTCACAACACTACTGTGGTAGAAGGTTTATAATTATAAAATCACAGCTTCTAGCCATGTAAGACTGACTTCTCTCAGGACAAAATTTATGCAGTGGTGAACTGTCATTACATGCCATTATAGCTGATCCAGAGGAAAAACTCTGTTCTACAATGCTCATTTCTTGCTGGGTCATATGGTGGAAGTCACTGGCTCTGGGGCCACGTGGTCGAACAACATGCAGGTGACCAAGGAAGATGGGGATACGGCAGCCAACCTTTCAGGGCAACTTGGCAGTAAATGTCAGTCTATTCCTTCACTGTCCTAAGACCCCTCAAACTCAGCATGTCATATTTAAGCATCCTTTATTTGTAATGCGTTGTTCCTAACTTTTGTTTGCTACACATCCTATCCTTTTTTAGGAGCCATCAACTGCCTTCATTCAGTGCTCTCATTTATAGGACTGCAAATTG